TACTCACAAAGGGGAACATGTTACATCTGTACTTGCAACCTTAATATTGGCATTTCCTCATTTTTGAGTGCTTGACTTTGCCAGTTGAATGCTCCTGTAGTCTGGATTTCTGTATGACCTTTTCAAGATTTTAAAAAAAGCAAACTGAAAAAAAACAGAACTCCATCGTATAGAATCATACTGATCTCCATCCCTACCCATGGGACATCAGCAGAGTTGGAACCTTCAGATCCACAGCACAGACCTCTACCACTGGTGCGATGGAGTAACTGATAGTAATAGTAGGCAGGTTTCAGAGTAGCAGCCATGTTAGTCTGTATTCGCAAAAAGAAAAGGAGGACTTGTGGCACCTTAGAGACTAACAAATTTATTTGAGCATAAGCTTTCGTGAGCTACAGCTCACTTCATCGGATCCTGGTGTACCAGCCATTTAAGGGGGATGAGACACTCACTTTACCAGTGGGTTTCACAACCATTTGCTCTACAGCAATTGCAAGGAAATACTAGCCAAGTCCTTACCGTCCTGGGCTGGGTATGCTCAGTGCAGATGGCATCTACAGAGAACTGCCAGACTGTAACCATCAAATGGTCATTTTCAAAGGCTTATAACTTGGCCCAATCTCTGTGGCTTTTCATGGAGAAAATAAAAGGCATCTCTCTGATCTCAGGGGTTCCCCAAGTTTCAAGTTCCTTCTCCAAATCATGGACCTTTAAGAAATATTTTATAATAACAAAACCTCATATTTTTTCAGCAACTCATTCTCGGAAATGGCTGAACCTATTTTTAGTGAACCTTTCCAAAACACTTCAGCCTGAGGCAGAGACCTAGTGTGAAAAATTTCAGGTCTACTGTTTGTTTGAAAAGTAAAAAGCAACTGAAAATATGGTCTTACGATTTAAAGCGCGAGGCAACCGTAACTATAAGTGTCACTGCCAGATTTGTCTATAATAATGGGTCAGAGGCTATATGAAAAGATGTGTGCAAGAGGTTAAAAAGAACATGCCACATTGACCAATGTTTTGCAGTTCTCTTTCTCATGGCTTGGTTGAATATTAAGTTTCTTTCGGGAGCAAAAACAATTTGTTGCTGAATGTATTAATTTCTCAAAAGTGACTGAAGCAGGAGCTTTGTAGATTTTAATGTAACAGTGACACCATGTGGCCAGTGGTGTATTGGGCTTTACATTTCAAAGCATTATTTTCTTGGTCAAACCTAAGCATTAGTATCACAGCAGAGAGAAAAAGAAGCGGAAGGAAAAACCAGAAAATTACAACTTTTGCCATGGAAAAGAGATGCAAAAAGTCCCATTTTATTGCTTTGCACTTTTAAAAAATATGTTTTAAATTGTTGAAATGCTAAAATAGTATCTGTTGCCTAATTACTCTTCTATTGAAACAAAATACATGAAACAAAATTAGCTAGACCATTCCATTCGGCTCAGTCATGGCAAGGTCTCTTCTTAGGGAAGAAGTTCACAGAGGGGGCATTCTAGAAACCTTGGGAAACCCAGGGATCAGATGAATAATCAAGATCCTTCTAAATGTATAATGTCAGCACGCAGAGTGATTCCCTTTGTGCTGTAACCTGGGCCATCCTGATACCGTAGCTCGTTTGTGCGTCCTACAAACTGGCTCTCCCCAATGACTACTCTGAAACAATGGAAGGGAGCTATAACAGGTTATAGCAAGATTAATTACTGGAAAGGTTTATGCTTGGAAATACTCCATTGATAGATGGAAACATGCCACATAATAGCAGCTGCTCCCAGTTCTGCCTTCCACAAGATATGCCCTTGTCCCCCAAAGCCGGAGGAGCCCCACATTATGTTGGAACTCCAACAAGGGCAAAACCCATCTTGCCTTGTTGTCAATGTGTTAAATTCTGATGTGGTGAAAATGCTGACAGTGGCCCTGCATTTCCTTTTATTTTTGTACACGCCGTACCTGATATGCTATGCATTTCCCAAGTGGAAAATGGATAGAGCACTGAATGAGCATGAGAGAGTTCAATTACTGGCTCTTCCACAGAGTTCATGTGCAATTTTTGGGCATCTCACACTGTGCCTCAAACAGTGTTGCCAGCACATGTCATTATATTATTGATAGTTTTGTAATATTTAATATTGCTCTTAAAGGCCTATTTCTGGACCCAGGTGATTATGAATCTCAGTTTTCATTTAAAAATAATGTTACTAGCTTGTGTGATAAGCTTGCAAATATTTTCAGAATCTCATGGTTTTAAATCTCTTTGTTTAGTAAAGACCAGACTAATGATTTTTCAGCACTTGGGGAATGCAGTATCCTCAACTCCATCTCTAAATGTGAGATGATAATACATTCCTACCTTACAGCAACAGATTCATATTTCTAAGGTGTTGGGACACTACAGTCAATCATTCAGAACCCTTCAAACCTGTTCAAGCATCAAACAATCATCAAAGAGACTGGATCATGTACATTTTCACTACAGGACAAACTGTTGGTTACACACATGCATGTTCGGATATAAACAACTCTGTGAGTGCTTGTTACAAATATTTGCCACAAAATAGACACAATTCAAACTCTCATGATTTCCTAGCACAATGTAATGCATGTCAGCAAGTGACACATAGCATGTGCACCTTTTAAAGGTCTGCTATTGGCAGTGAATATGTTTCAAAAACTGCATGATCAGATTGCTGAGTTCCTTAACTCATGATCTCTTCTATTAACAGGGTAAATATTTTCCATGTGCTGAAGAAAAAGGCCTTGTTTTAAACACTTGACACCCACTTTTAGCCCTTCTTTTGGAACCCAATATGCCTTAGAAGAGCATCAAAAGAAAACAGTTTTGCAGCAGCTGAAGTTTACTAAGAAGTTACTGACTGAGTATAACTTTAGACTCTCTGTACGTGGACAGTGTTTGCAGCAATGCTAACCCAAAAAATAGCCTTTGGTTTTTAACGCTATCAGAGTGAAAATTATATCTGTGTTTTGTCTCAAGATCTTGTGAATGGGCCACTCAGGGTATGTCTACACAGCAGCTAAATGCCTGTGACTGGCCCCTGTCAGCTGACTCAGGCTCACAGGGCTTGGGCTCTGGGGCTGTAAAATTGCAGTGTAGACATTTGGGCTTGGACCCATCATGTGGTCCCAGAGCTTGGGCTCCTGCCCAAGCTGCAACATCTACACCACAGTTTTACAGCTCTGCAGCCCAAGCCCAAGTCAGCTGACACGGGCGAGGCATGGGTATTTAATTACTGGGTAGATATCCCTCACGTCATGAGCTGCAGTGATTCTGGGCGGAAGCCAGAAAATTCATCTTGTGTGCTTGCCTTCAAAAAGAAAAACCATATGCAAGAGAAGATGGATGGATGCAGCTGCTGAGTCTACTGTTGTTAATTTTACAGACATCTTGTTAGAGATGTTTATAAATAGATTTTGAAGGATTACATTTTTATTTGTAAATGTTGGTAAACTTCAATTTCACCATACACAAACCGATGAAAAAATATTTCCATCCATCATAACTGAAATGTACAGCTCGGCAAAATAAGAAGAATGCTGCTTGAGAACTTATTAGAGTTTGATTTAAGGATAGTTACTTGGTATATTTTGACATGTTCAACTCCATGTCCTAATGACTGTTTGTTTATTTATAAATATTGGAACAATTTCAGCAGGAGAGACTGAGAGCGTCCATTCAAGCATATCCCATAGTCCAGTGATTAGGGCATGGAGGTTTAACTCAGAGAGGGGAAAGGGGGAATTGAATCAGGCTTCCCACGCGCTGGGACAGTGCTCTAACTCTGGGCTAAAGGTGGTTGCTGTTGTTTGGGAGGGGGGGGGAAGGGGATGTCGCTCTCCCTTGGCTTTTTGTGAAAAAGACCTTGGGGGCCTAACTCTAGGAGGGGGTTCACAGGAGTGAATGACATTAAATGAACAGGGGCTCTGGAAGCATGGCAGATGTGACATCCATATACTCAATAGCTGCTTTAAGTCCTAGGGTGAACTTGTGGAAGAGCATTTGACATTTCTTCTGTAGCCTAGGGACAACTCTGTGAGTAAGGAAGAAAAATGTAGGAGTTCAGATCTTGTCTTTTCTAACTGCTGTTTAAAATTTCCATATACTACCCTTATAATTGGCATGGGGAGGGCTAGATTCACAAAGGACTTAGTCACCTAACTGCCTCTACAGCAGTGGCTGATTAGCCTCTGGGTCAATGAGGCCCGTGCCCAGGGGCCCCAGCCAACTGGGGGGCCCCAGAAAAAAAAATCCACCACCAGGTGGCGGAAGCCCAGAGCCCTGGCCACTGGGTGGGCAGGAAGGGCAGGGCAGAGTGGAGAAAGCCTCCACGCCGTGACACCACTCCCCAGCAGAAGCACTGGGCGGGTGGGGTGGGGGAAGTCCCCAGTGTCCTGTCCCCAGCAGAAGCCCTGGGGCAGCAGGGGAAATCCCAGCACCCAGACCCCCACTGCAGCCCTGGGACTGGAGGAGTCTTGCTACCTGCTGCGGCCTCAGGGCTGGGGGAGCGCTCATTCCCTTCTGCGGCTTGGGACCATGGCAGGGAGACAGAGCTTCTCTGGTCTTGGCGCCACGGGGTGAGGGGGGCGGAATGTGGGGACCATGTGTGGAACAGGGGTGGGGCACCAGGACAGGGCAGAAAGGGATGGGCTGTGGGTGGGGCCACAGATGGAAGAGGCAGAATGGGGGTGGAACCACAGGTGGAAGGGGTGGCAAAGCCCCCCCACTTGCTCTGACCCAGGGCCCCAGGAAACCTTACTCTGCTGTTCTCTAGTCAGAACCCCCTGAGTAGTATCCCACAAAGATCCTTGCACTATTAAGGACATCAGGCCTGGGCTCAGTATATGGTATGCCAATTAAAGAACAAAGCCCATTGGTTACAAATGTATCCTTATCTTGTATTACCAATGGTAACTACTGTGTGCTGGTTAAAATTGTAATTTCTGAATAGCGCTATGTGATAATGTTGCATTTGTATCTTATTGTTTTCCAGATGGGAGTTGGTGTTGTGGACTCTGCTGTGGCTGGATTAGGTGGCTGTCCATATGCGAAAGGTGCTACTGGAAACGTAGCTACGGAGGATGTTCTATACATGCTTAATGGGTTAGGGATAAATACGGTAAACTATTGCACATTTATGTTAGCATATCTACATTTCTTAAAACTGCCAGTCACTGTGTGTTTGACTGACATAATAGTGTTGCTCTCAGGGAGCTATTTGTTGTATCATTTAAGAAGATTGTTTGATTACAATGCACTGAGATTTGTTGCTGAAAAGCCCTTGAATATGATACACAATAGACTGGTGAGAGAGAGAGAAGCCTGCTGAACAGGCAGGCTTAACCGCTGAGGAGGCTGAGCCAGCGCTGACTGATAGCAATGGGAGTCTTTCCATTGACGTCACTGAGCTGTGGATCAGGCCCATAGTGATTATGGGACTATGTAGTAGTTTAATTCATCTGGCTTCATATGTGAAAAATACAATTGTGTCTATGGGCCGCCAATGTGATATATTCGTGAAAAAAGCTAATGCGGTCTTGGGATGCATCAGGCGAGGTATTTCCAGTAGAGATAAGGAGGTGTTAGTACCGTTATACAAGGCACTGGTGAGACCTCATCTGGAATACTGTGTGCAGTTCTGGTCTCCCATCTTTAAGAAGGATGAATTCAAACTGGAACAGGTACAGAGAAGGGCTACTAGGATGATCTGAGGAATGGAAAACCTGCCTTATGAAAGGAGACTCAATGGGCTTGGCTTGTTTAGCCTAACTAAAAGAAGGTTGAGGGGAGATATGATTGCTCTCTATAAATATACCAGAGGGATAAATACCATGGAGGGAGAAGAATTATTTAAGCTCAGTACCAATGTGGACACAAGAACAAATGGCTATAAACTGGAAGTTTAGACTTGAAATTAGATGAAGGTTTCTAACCATCAGAGGAGTGAAGTTCTGGAACAGCCTTCCAAGGGAAGCAGTGGGGGCAAAAGACATATCTGGCTTCAAGACAAAGCTTGATAATATGGAGGAGATGCTATGATGGGATAGCCTAATTTTGGCAATTAATTGATCTTCGACCACTAGCGGTAGATATGCCCAATGGCCTGTGATGGGATGTTAGATGGGGTGGGATCTAAGTTACTACAGAGAATTCTTTCCTGGGTGTCTGGCTGGTGAGTCTTGCCCACATGCTCAGAGTTTTGCTGATCGCTTTATTTGGGGTCGGGAAGGAATTTTCCCTCAGGGCAAATTGACAGAGGTCATGGGGGTTATTTGCCTTCTTCTGTAGTCTGGGGCACTGGTCACTTGCTGGAGGATTCTCTGCACCTTGAAGTCTTTAAACCATGATTTGAGGACTTCAGTAGCTCAGACATAAGTTAGGGGTTTGTTACAGGAGTTGGTGGGTGAGAGTCCATGGCCTGCATTGTGCAGGAGGTCAGACTAGACAATCATAATGGTCCCTTCTGACCTTAAAGTCTATGATTCTATGATACACAATCTTTAGGACTGACCAGTCAAACACGGACTCATTCAATATCCCTTCAAGCCACGTAAAACCATCACATTATTGTTCACAAAGGTGAGTTATGTGATGGTGAGATTAACTCACCCCCCCCCCCAGCTGAAGACCAGTATGTCGTGTGTGACACTGAGTTTCTACTAACTGAAGCAATAGGACACACAATTTGACTTTGGAACACAGACGCAAATGATAGCATAAAAAACACAGTCACTGTGTTTTCAGATCTAGTATGGCACACAAACTGTCCTAACTGCCTCCATCTGTGGTTCAAGATTATCTCTTTTATTTCAGTCTGCACACAGGAAAAGCAGTTACAGAATTTTCTTTGAGGCACCACCTCATACGCCGATGCATGCCTTTGTCACCTCCAGACTAAACTACATGGTGCGCCTTGCATAGGGCCACGTCTTGAGACCATTCAGAAAATGAAGTCATGGAAGAATGCAGCTTTCTGTTTATTAAGTAATGGTGCACACAAAAATCACATTACACCTCTCTTTCATGAACTGCAGTACCTCTCAGTTGGTTTCCAGAAGTTTAAGGTGCTGATTTTTTATCTATAAAGCCCTAAATGGTTTGGCATCTTACAACTTGCCTTCCATTTGTAATCTGTGGAGATGCTCACACTAAGAATACCCTGATTTAAAAGAGAGGGTGGAGATTAGTCTTTGGGGTGGTGGTGAACTACAGATGTTTCTTGATTAATGTTCTAAAACAGCAAAGTCCTTTGGGAATGAGAAGGGACGTTTGGCTTCATTTCTACACTTCTTGGGCAAAACACCCATTGACTTCAGATTTTGCCCATATAATATTTTACTATAGCCTGTCCAGGGGAATTATTCAAGCAAAAATATTCAGCAAAGCCCATGACCATATGAAATTGATCTGTTCTCAGGTTTTATGATATCGGTCACAAACCTTTTGAGAAAATGTATCAGTAAGTAAGTCTGAGTCATCTTAAGGGAGTTTAACTGGCACTGTCTTTGTATTTGGTCCTAAGTATTTACATGGAATCCTGTGAAGCAAAATTTCCAAGTTTCTCAAACATCCCTCTAAGCTGTTTCCGAAGTGTGTCCCCTGCTGCAACAGAAAAAAGTCCATTGCCCTTCCACCTTAGCCGTACAGAAAGAGAGGATGGTTATAGGCCCAGGTTGAAAAACCATTGCTCGCATCTTAGGCTCTCATCTTAATGTGGAAAGATTCTAGTCCCCACAGAGTACATATTTGCATTTATTTAACTACCCTATTCTGCAGTGTGGGGCTAATAGTCTGCTAATATTTCACTATTTTTATATGACAGCACATACTGAATTTATATATAACCAAATGTTTCTATTTGCCAAGAACTGGTCTGTTTTCATTTCAGCTGTGTCCTCATGCTCTCATTTTGTTGACTAAAGTCACCCAAAATGTGAGCCAATGGATGAACTGCTATTTGAGGCTTCGTTAGTGCTCTCTCATTGGCCATGTGCGTCAGAATAGTAATTAATGGTTATTTTATAGTGTTCTCCAGAACGATTAAACAACATGATAATGTGAAGTGAATCTGTAAAAGTCTGTCCACAAACATGTTGCTCGGTAGTACAATGATAAATGGGCAGTTTAATGTCACACATGATTAATGGTCACAAAGGTTTCCAGCAAGACATGCACTTTATGCAAAGAAACAGTTTTTATATGGTTCAGCTATAATTATAATAATGGTACCTGCTGTTATGGTGCCTTCCCTATGCTTAACAAACAGTAAGCCTCAAAAAACTTCTGAGAAGTGGTAAAGTACCATTATTGCCATTTTATAGATGATGAAGCTGAAACTCAAGGAGATTATAGTCCTGATCCTAACAGGTGCTGAATAAGAACTGATTTACTGGAGTCAATGGGAGTTGTAGGAGTTTGGCTTCTGGGCAGAGATGTTTCACTTCTTGAAGGATCAGGTTCTATGTCACTGCCCAAAGTCACACAGAAAGATCATGGAAAAGAAGCAGATTGGCTGGTACTTCATGGCCCTCAAGGTATACAGTCATCTAGTTTAGGCATATGGCCAGTCTCACAATCCTTCTGCACACATGTTGTGTGGGCAGCAAGCATACATATATCTGCCCTGAGCTATATTGTCCTAGCTCAGAGATCCTACATGCACCCATCACTGCCCTTTCTCTCCTCTCTGACCTTCACACACCTTTCTGTGACTCATGAGAGTAAGGTCAGAGTTTTGCCCTCTGTGTGTAAACCATCTCTTATGAAGTATGTTGGTCTTACAATATAAAAATAAAACAGAAAAATGAGCATTCGAACAGCACAGGCTCTAGACTAGACACTCCATGCAAAATGTGCATGCTGTTTTGTTTCACACATCTAAGCATGTGTATCTTGTCAACACCTATTGTACTATTAAATATTCATTGCAGTGTTGTGAATTTGAGATGTTCTTTGTTTCCACAGCAACCTGCCCACCCAGTCTAGCTATGATGGCATGTTTCTTATTTCTGTTAGATATAACAAAGACAGATGGTGCAAGGCTGATTGTAACTTTATTCCAGTTAAATATGGCTTTTTGATTAAATGGAAATTTCCAAGAGACAATTTCCATTTTTGTTGAAAATTTTCACTCATGGAATTGACTATGCAAAGCATGTTAATGCAAAGTTAAAGCAAGTTAATGCAAAGCATGCAAGTAAATAGGCTGAAACAGGATGTGGATGATTTAAGGGACTGGTAATGAGGCAGGAAACATTTTACTTCTTGGTCAGTGATTTTATTCTCCCCTAACTTGATAGTAACCAAAAATTACCAATGTTTTAGGGGCTCTCTCTTTTTGTTTGGGTTTTTTTTTAGCCGATGTAAAATGAATTGTTTGTACAAGAAAGAATGCGTCTTAACAAGGAGAGATTAGTCAGTTGTGATTCTCCATACAATTGTAATAGTAATAAATTGTAATTTTCTGTAGAAGAGAGAATCTCCAGGGAAGAGCTGATCGTTATTGTAGAGGTATTGGAATGTATATGTTATGTTATGGAATCCCATTTTCTGTAACTCCATGCCATTTTCCAAATCTATCAATGGGATACTTTTCTTACAAATTTAAAGCTTCAAAGAGTACTATGAGAGGTAAACAAAGACATGTTTATATGAATTATTCAGCAATTTCATTTTGAGATGTATTACTAGAATCCCTCACTATTCCCCATTTGTTTTAGATGATGCAAACTGATTGATAGAATCTTTCAAAATGGGGGGAAAATGTAAGTGTGACTATTGTAGTAAGCATTACAAGGCAGGCCCTCACCTAGTGTAAGTCAGCATAGCTTTACTGACCTCAGTTTATTTACTCCAACTAAAGAGTTAACCTTTTTTCTTCAAAATAAAAGATTAGATTGCAATGAAGCGGGTTTCTTCTTGAAATTACAGCCCCGGAGAGCAGTTTACTAGTGACATAAGCGTTATCAATATACATATTTTAATACTGTGCATTAAATTAACTACTTTTCTCCCCCCATGTCTTAGGGAGTGAATCTTTACAAGGTGATGGAAGCTGGTAACTTCATCTGCACGGCTTTGAACAAGAAAACAAATTCTAAAGTTGCACAAGCTTCCTTCAAAGTTTGAACTGTAAATTAAAATGTTCTTTCTGCAAATTAATTCACATGCAATATGTCTTGTCCAAGAGCATTTATATAAAGAAAATCAATTGCAAAACCTTTTCAGTCAAGAAAAGAAAGCATGCTATAGCTGTTCTTTATTGAAAGAGTAACTGTGCGTTAGAATAATACATCTTGCCAAATGTTACTTTTGGGAAACAATACATCGTTGCAAATAATAAATATAATGTCTATCAATACAAATTCATGTACTTGATACTTTTAAAAGTAAGGAAATCAGCACTTTACTGTCTATTTAAATGGCCTTTTAGCTTGCTTTAGACAAAATTAATTACAGCGTTCCACAAAAAGTGAATACATTGTTACTTCTTAATCAAGCTGACTTTTAGTACAGTACAAATATTTGAAGTAGTTTATGAGATCCCACATTGTGTGTGGCCTGGCTATTATGTGTGTTATTTCTCTGAATCTCCACTTTCCATTTGCCGAGTCAATTATGTTATGAACGTGGAACCCAATCTAAATTTACTGTAAGTACTTTTTAGCAATAGCACTTTTGTATTTTTACAGTGGTTAACATCTGTTAAGTATATGAATGACTTTGTCTTGTTCCAAGAATTTGTGACAAATGGCAGCCTGCCATATCCCCCAAATCTAGCGCACCTCTCATATTTGTTAGAGACATTAAACTCATTGTAGTTGCTTTTTTCATCAGCTGTTTTTAAAACCTGATTAATTATATCAAGCAATGAAAAGAAGACAGGATATACTCTTTAGTGTAACACTGTGGAGGTGATTAGATTTTTGTGCAAAAGCCTCATGCACCAGTTGGCATTTTATTTTATGATCCCTCGATTATCATCCCCAGAAATACAGTTTCTGTGATAATGACTAGTTTACATAGAGAGAGCCATCCACAGCCTCTCTTTAAGCTCTTGTGAATTTGGTACTAAATACCTGAGTGCAACATGATGCCAGTGAACTGCACCATCATCGATAAATCAGCAATGGACAATTTAAAATAACAGCCTCATTATTTCTGTAACCTGTTCAAATCATTCATGAAACTACTGTAATCTTCTTGCCTGCATCCGACATGCATCCGACAAAGTGGGTATTCACCCACAAAAGCTCCAATACGTCTGTTAGTCTATAAGGTGCCACAGGACTCTTTGCCGCTTCTTGCCTGAAACATCAGTTATTTTATTGTGTCTGTCTATGTAGCCTTCTTCAGTCTTTCATTATGTATGTGCTCTTGATCTGAATTTCGTTAGAAAGCAAGCTCTTAACACAAAACCCCAAAACCTGGACTATGATTTTTTCCCCATTGACATGCACTCAGCTCTTCTCGGAAACATGAAAGTTTGGAGAAGGATGAGATTTTAAAAAGTGAAAGATTTACTTGAAAAGAAAGAAGGTGGGATCACAGTTGTCTACAGCCCGAATGACAGCACTCTTACTTGTACCATTATTGCAGTCTCTGGGGTTGGGCCATGGTCTGAACCAACTTGATTATGAGACATCCAGGTTGTGAGCTGATGTTACATGTGGTTGGAGTTTGGTGGCTACTACTCTCCAAATTATTTTGCCCAGGAATGGGGGTTGGAGACAGAACAGTCATTGGAGAGGTCTTTCTGGCAAGGGCTGGCTTCCTGAGGACTGGGTGAACTATTGCTTTTTTTCCAGGAGTTTTGTAGCTGCGCTTCTCTGAAGCAGGCATAGATTATTTCCATTAGTAGTTCGCATAGTTGTTCTTCACTATCTTTTACCAGCCTGGATCCATTTCACAGACTGCGGCTTTAATATTTTTCAGGGCTACCTTGCTTTGGCGTCAGATACAATTCAGTCTTTACAGGTGGCTGGAAATTGGCCTTGAGCTGGCACATTTATATGTCAGTTTAAGAGCTAACCAGACATCATTGAAAATAAGATTCAGGAAGGAGTTGTAATATGAGTGCTTAATCCAAGGGTTCCAAAACTAGCAACACTTCCCCCCACACACACAAATGTGGGCTCATGAACAAGTCTGTGGGTGGTTGTGAGCATCTTTCCTTACTTTATTGCTAGATGGGAGAGATTGTTAACATGTACTCACTATTCGCAAAAAGAAAAGGAGTATTTGTGGCACCTTAGAGACTAACCAATTTATTTGAGCATGAGCTTTCGTGAGCCACAGCTCACTTCATCGGATGCATACTGTAGAAGATCTTTTTATATACACACAAAGCATGAAAAAATACCTCCTCCCACCCCACTCTCCTGCTGGTAATAGCTTATCTAAAGTGATCACTCTCCTTACAATGTGTGTGATAATCAAGTTGGGCCATTTCCAACACAGATCCAGGTTTTCTCACTCCCCCCCCCCCACACACACACACAAACATACTCTCCTGCTGGTAATAGCTTATCTAAAGTGACCACTCTCCTTATAATGTGTATGATAATCAAGGTGGGCCATTTTCAGCACAAATCCAGGGTTTAACAAGTACGTCTGAGGGGGGGGGTGGTATTAGGAGTACTCGTGGCACCTTAGAGACTAACCAATTTATTTGAGCATAAGCTTTTGTGAGCTCCCTGGATTTGTGCTGGAAATGGCCCACCTTGATTATCATACACATTGTAAGGAGCGTGGTTACTTTAGATAAGCTATTACCAGCAGGACAGTGAGTTGGGGGGGGGGGGAGGACGGGTGAGAAAACCTGGATTTGTGCTGGAAATGGCCCAACTTGATTATCATACACATTGTAAGGAGAGTGATCACTTTAGATAAGCTATTACCAGAAGGAGAGTGGGGTGGGAGGAGGTATTTTTTCATGCTTTGTGTGTATGTAAAAAGATCTTCTACACTTTCCACAGTATGCATCCGATGAAGTGAGCTGTAGCTCACGAAAGCTTATGCTCAGATAAATTGGTTAGTCTCTAAGGTGCCACAAGTCCTCCTTTTCTTTTTGTGAATACAGACTAACACGGCTGTTGCTCTGAAACCATTTACTCACTATTGTAATATGGGATCATAGAATGCAGCTTGAGAATCACTGAGGTAGAATTACTACTGTTTTGATCTATGCTGTAGAAATGAACCAATTCTACGATAAAGGGATAGTTTATGTATAAGATATGCCTGTTTTCTCAGAGGGTTATTTTAAGGGGAGGGAGTGTGGCCTCGTAATCAGATCTGTGGGCTGGGAACTAAGATTCTGTTCCCAGCTGGGTCACTGGCTTACTGTGTGACTTATCGGGTTGCTCACCTAGTGCTGAGAGGTTTTCATTAATTAATATTTGTAAAGCAAGTTGAAATGTTCAGAACCTGATTAAAAAAAGTATCCAATCTGAGAACTGTCCCAGCAACATTTCCCATGCTTGACTTGTTAATTATTTTTATTTATGCATTTATTTATCCTATAGTTACTAAATGGAAACATTTTTTCTTCCAATCTCCCTTCTCAGTTAACATCTGCCATCATGATCCTAATGTCCGAGCAGGAGGGCATGATTAAAACCAATGTTAATATAGCCCTTTGGATCACCCTCCAGAGACATGGTATATTTGCTGAAGAACTGTCACCAGCACGGCTGTACTCGTTAAATACACCTATTATTTTGCAGTGTATGGCATTAATCTTAAAGGTGAAATAAAACATATCTAAATGTTTATTGAAAGAGATATGCTGACGTATTACGACATGCTACATGCAGCAATTCCAGTTAACTAAGTCACACGTAAGGCGTTAGTAAATATCAGCTGTCACTCCATCACATACTCTAATGTTTACTCTGGTAAGGTGTAATCCGTTCTGAGTGCATTTGCTTGTGATTATCTTTATTATCAGTTGTTCCAATCTGCTTTAATGGAAAACGATACGCAACTGATGAATCTCTTCTAAGTTACCATAGAAACATATTTCTTCCCTCCATTAACTAAGCATTAACTATGAGATCTTTGATAACTCAAAATATTCCTCTGTAAAGAAATATTCAAGTTATGGTAATCAAAGTTGCTTCAGTGTACCACACTCAGATCATTTAAATTTTTTCTTCAATTTTTATTTTTCTGCCTCTTTATATATTATAAATGTAGAGCAAACATTTTCATTACTGTTTTTATATGAGCTAAAAATCACCCAAATTACCATCTGATCCTGTACCCAGTGTAATCAATGGTAAAATAATTGTTGATTTCAGTGGGTGCCTGAACAGATCCTAATGCTTTATACTATATACTGAGATGGAAAATATGTTCTGTCTCACATGTGTGACCGTCTTAGTGTATTTTTTTGCAATTACTCCAAAAATTGCATGATGAACAACTTCACATAAGGATAGTAAGATGCAGACACTCCAGGTCCTAGAATGCTTGTCCTGGGCCGATCTGCAAAAGTCACTATCTACTTCTCTTTCAAATCCGTCCTGGAGACCCACTTTTGCTGTGATGCCTAAAAGACAGTAGCCAGCTAATTACCATTAGATAAAAGAGCAGTTGGTGACAGATTATGTATATCACATATTATAACATTTTAAAATATGTACAAAACCAAACCTAACTATATGGTTATTAGCCATCACTCTGACAGCTGTGCTCATGTGTTGCATCCCTGTCCTTCACTCTTCATCTGTTTTTCAGACTGCAAGCTCCTTGGGGCAGGGAGTGTGGTTTCCTGTATGTCTATAAAACACCTATCACATTTTATAGCTTTAAGAATAAAATAATGAATTGCTGTTAAAGCCATCTAGTATGCTATAGTACAGAAAATAGAAACATCATAAACTGCAAAGGTACTTCAGGTGTCTAAGGCACTTCAATACTTTTAAAACTGAAAGTGCTGCTGGCTGGGATTTTCAATTGATTATCTATTACTAATGTATTTAATATAATAGATATTTAATATATTTAAACTAGAAGAAGTGGCATTAGGAATCAGTAGCATTATAAATGCCTAATCATTGTATTCTTCTGTTGATGCAGTCATAATGCTCAATAAAATGAATAAGTATTTATGTTTTGCATACATCTTTATTGTAAAAGACAATATAAAAGTGTACATTCTAATGGCACTTGTCACAGGAATCATTAAAATCTCCCAGAAGCAAGTTACCGAGCAACCCAGTTTCAGGAAATCATCAGGGCCAGATGGTTTTCACCTAAAGGGGCTCTTAGGAAAATAATATGTAAAAAAAACAGGAAATAATTCTAAAGGAAACAAAGGCCAAGAATTATATAATGTATATATTGTATGTATAATGTAAGTCCATAGGGATTGAACAGGGCCCTGTGGAACATGTAAAACCCATGATGGAAAGGGTACATTTTTCACCACAGATGGGTCTAAGTGGTATGTAGGGCCTCCAGCCTTGAAGACTGGAAAATCTCTAAAATGGTCTATATCTTTAGAAGGCAACTAAAGGAGATCACCGGAATTACAGTTCTGTAAAAACAGATTGTATCTTGCCACCTTTCTATTCAACAGGAAGGTTTTCACTGACTTCAGAAAAACAATGAGGAGTCCTTGTAGCACCTTAGAGACAAACAAATTTATTTGGGCATAAGCTTTCCTGGGCTAAAACCCAGTTCATCAGCTGCATGGAGTGGAACATACAGTAGGGAGGTATAAATACACAGCATATGAAAAGATAGGAGTTGCTTTAGCAAGTGGGGAGTCAGTGCTAACGAGCTAATTCAATTAAGGTGGAAGTGGGCTATTCTCAACAGTTGACAAGAAGGGGTGCAAGTCACTTTTGTAGTGCTAATGAGGCCAATGTA